ATTTTCTGAGATTGTGGATTTGGGGTTTTCATGAGCTGTAAGCCATAATCATCACAGTTATGACACATCACGGCTTGAACTATCTTGCTTTGCATGTAATGAGTCTATCTCATATATTAGGTTCACCTTTTAAGTTGCATTACTGAAATAAATGAACTTTTGCACGATATTCTAATTTTTCGAGTTTCACCTGTAGAACCTGAGGAGAAAATGTTTGCCAGATGCTTTATCACTCTCATCAAGGCACTAAACTAAAATAAAAGATGGAGGTTGGCAAAAACCAAAAACCGAATATCCAATCAAAGATTGGGATAAAAAAAAACAGAATACAATGGGAGAAACACAAGGCCAGAAGAAGGACCCCAAATTTTATAGGATGATAATTCAACAGGGAGAAATAGACAATTTATCTTCTCTCAGGAAGATAGCTATAATGTGACAGATATCACTGAAACTTGGTGGGATGATACTCATGATTGATACATAGTATTGGAAGGCTAGAATGTACACAATAGGAGAAGATGCAACAGAAGGAATGGAGTGTTCACTGAATACAAGGGGGAAAAAATCTAGAAATTAAAAAATCAGAGTATGTAACACCTTGTTGAAAGTGGGGATTTATTGAAAAAATAAAACGTGAGAAAAAAAACAAAAGTAATACCATAGAGCAGAGGTCCCCAACCCCCAGTCCATGGACCGGTACCACAGTATGCCAGCAACTCGTCTGCACACACAAGCAAAGCCCCATCTGTGGGATGCAGGCAGCATACAAAACCACCCACCCTCCAGTGTGCAGAAAAACCTCTCTCCACGGAACCAATCCCTGGTGCCCAAAAGGTTGGGGACTTCTGCCGTAGAGGGAATTTGTTATAGCCTGCCTGGGCAGTCAAATAAATAAATATAAATAAAATGCCTCACTTTCAAAGAGACATGCATCAGTGATAATGAGGGATTCTATTTATTTTTTTATTTTTACATCTTCTGAGAATCTATCTCTACCAAGAGTCAAAATTCCAAGAAATTCTTCTTCCCTTTTGTTGACAACTTCATTGTTAACAGGTAGAAGAACAAGTGAATCTAGTATTCTTGACCTAATCCTTACCAGCAGTGAGGAATTGGTTAAAATTGAAAAAATGATCATATTATACTTGAATTTAGAGATTAAACAATTTAACTCAAGAAGGAACAAATTTCCTATTCTGCATCAGATAACAAAACTCATTGAATAGTCATGCTGCCTTCAACAAAAAATAGCAAGAGAATACCAAATAATGAATAAGTATATAACAAGATCAGAACACATTGCAAGCAGAAAAAATAAAAATGAGGCAATAACCTCACTAATTTAATGAGTAGAGCCTCATGTACTTTCTGCTTTCCAAGCAGTGCTGCAGATCAGGCAGTTATATATTTTAGGATCATTAGATTCAAATGATCTGTTGCACCAGAAACAGTATCAATTATCATTATATAGTACCACTGAAGAGCAGACACATACAATCTGAGTATTGTCACAGCAGCACCATTTGGAATATAGTCAGAAAACATGGATCAAGATAGCTCAAAAAAGCAAGACAAAATATTTTCATTATGGAAAAGGTAGAAGGGAACATTCAATATATGGTCTATCTAGCATTAGCAGTTGGTTCTCATCAATGTTAATCATTATTCTCTTGAATGCTTTAAATAGATTGAATATCTTGAAAAGAACTGCCTTCTTAAAACTTTTACTAGATCACAGTTTAGGCCTTTGATCTTCCCACAGATTGACATTTCATTCTTCTGTTGGCTGACCCTGTTGTACACTGTGAAACAGAGAAACAGGAAATTCAGCTACGTAACTTTTAACCTAAATCTAGGTCTAGTTATAAGCCTCTTAGCTTATAGAGACAATTGGCTGTCTATACCGTTAAGAGTTATGATATGACTTTAATTCCAAATCTAACAACAATCACACAATCTAATAACAATCACACAATGATATTACCAATATGCAATATATTGCAAAATAATCTCAAAAGTACTGGAATCAATGGTTTTGTGTCCATAACATATAATTTATTTTTTTCTTTGAATTTTGTATCAGTCAAAATCAAATCACATTATAGCATAGTCAAGATGCTACAGTACACTAAGCACAATAAATACACTACCCGATTTACCTCATCATGAATTACTGAATAAACTATAACCACAGTAGCTAGATTTACAGTATACAATACATTGTATTTTCTTTATTCTAAGTGACAGGCTTGTTCACCCCGATTGCTGAAAAAGCCTGCTACTTAGAATAAGGCATATAAATGATCTCTGGATACTAACATTGTAATTCAAATTCCCATTTAGGAAAAATGTATTAGTTGGTTTTGTCAAAACCTGATATTTTAATTATAGATGTCTGTTTCCAGCAGCAATTACATCAAAATGCCAACATGTGCATCATCAAAACGCCACTCTTTTATACTTGTACCACAAGTACCTAAGAAATTGAGAGTCTGTCACATCAGAAGGCACATTTTGCCACTTGCCCTTTTCCTACAGACTCTTGTGGTTATAGAACAAGTGCTGTGAATAGATTATAAGAGGTGTTTAACACACTGTAGTTTAATTGACTTGAAATAATTATCTAGGACAAAGTAGTAGCAATGATACTTGAGAGCTACTAACTCTCATATTTTAGGCTGTCAATGGACAATAAATTCATGTAACTGTGCATCGAATCATTCATGCTGGACTGTTGCAACATGCTCTACATGGGGCTACCTTTGAAGAGGATTCAGAAGCTACTGTTGGTGCAGAATGCAGCTATGTGGACTGTTTTTGGGCCCCCTAGGGTGACCCATGTTGTTACACGAGTGCACTGGTTGCCAGTTTGCTTCGGGGTCCAATTCAAGATGTTTGTTATTACTTAAAAGCCCTTAATTGCATGGGTCCGTGTTATTTGAGGAACCATTTTACCCCAATGGGATGGGCTTGCCTGACCTATGCTGGCAGAAGGGACATGCTGGAGACCCCATCAGTCAAGGAATTCCACTGGTAGGTTGGGAAAATAGCCCTTTCTGCCATGGTTCCCACACTTTGGAACACTGCACCCCTTGAGGTAAGATCTGCACTTCTTGGCCTTCCATAGGGGCCTTAAAAACCTGGCTCTGACAATTGGCCTGGGCCCCCGATGGGAACTTGTCATACTTGAGTTGTTAATGGACTACAGAAGTTTCCACCTTCATCCCGTTTTTATTTTGCTCCCATCCTTGCTACCTTTGTTAATTTTAATGTGGATATTTATGATCTTAATATTTTAATATTTTATCTTGTTGCTTTTACTCTGTTGTAAACCACTTAGAGTCACCTCTAGGCAAGATGTATGGCCTATAAATGTAATAAATTAAAATTAAAATTTCAGGTTTCACAATGCATATCTGTAAAGAGATACTTTCATTGTCATTTCTCACAATAGTCTTCAAAACAGCTGATCCAAATCTTTTGGCATCTACAGGACAACTCTTTCAAAACAGTCGTGTGACTCACTCTTTCCCTTCCATGCTTACAACTAGAAAGATTATAAAATCAATGCTATTTTGAAAAGAGGGCATCCGTTTCTTGCAAAGAGTCGTTTCTTTTTACTAAAGAAGCAGGGCCCAAAGGAAAGAAGACCACACACACTATACCATTTGCCTTTGTATGCAATTTTACTGCAAACCCAGAATTTCTTTATAAACTGAAGCCACGTAGGGCCGGAAAGAAACTCTCTTGTCAAATCAGAGACATAGTTGTGATCTGGAGAGATTCAAAGAACCAAGCACGTTCATTGCGGTGCAAAGTCAGGGAAATTCGTCTCTTGTTTCTTTGTGATAACGTGATAACGTATTAACTTTTGTGATAACGTATTAACTTTTCCAACAAGCCTAATGGAACGGGCTTGCCTTCCTTCCCGGTCACATGATCATCCCTGCCCGTTCTTCGGGCTGATTCCCACAGCAGGCAGGCAGGCAGGCAAATTGGCTGGCACGCTTACCTGAACTGGGGGTTGTTGATGAGAGTCTTGAGGGCGGCAGCAAAAGCAGATGGATCCCCCAGCAGGCGAACCGAGCCAGAGGCGGCGGCCATAGGTCGGCCCTGGCAGGGAAGGGCAGCCAAACACTGACTTTGTGCGAGTTCCCTTGGTTTTGGTTTATTGCTTGCAATCGCGATAATACTGAGAATCGACACGGCTGGCTGGAGCCTCAGCGGCAAGGCAGGAATGCAGAGAAAGGCCAAAGAAGCGGAAAGCAACACTTCTGTTGCCGGGCAACAGGCAGCTGCCAAGGCCCTAATATCCAGCTGTTGTGGGAGGGATCACAAAATTATAGAAGGAAAAGGCTGTTGCAAAAACTGGGAAGGAATCCCAAGAGCAGGCTCAGAGAAATCATTCAACCAGGGGTAAGGATTGTTGTAAAGAAAACAAATAGGCTCTTCTCCTTACCTGGGGAAATTGCACGTATGGGCTTTGTGCTCAGAACCAGCTCAATGTCTGGAAAAAGTTCATGCTTGGAACTGAGATGTCATCTAACTGCCAGCTATTATGTCAACAAAATTAAAACAATACCTCTCTGCATGGAATGGGATGGAATTCCTGCTAAGGAATTTCATATTGTTTCCAGATTAGATTGGATTTAGATTAGATTAAATTGGATTTAGATTAGATTAGATTAGATTAGATTAGATTAGATTAGATGCCATCAAGTCAATGTCGACTCTTAGTGACCACATAGATACATGTTCTCCATGATGATCTGACCCTAGCCTGGGCCTTCAGCTCTTTCAACTGTGCACTCATTGCCATTATAACTTTGCTTGCTCCTGGTTATTCTCCTCTTCCCTTCCAACTTTTCCAGCATTAGAACGTTCTCCAAAAAACTAGGGCTTTGCATAATGTATGCAAAGTAGGATAATTTAAGTCTGGTCATCTGTACCTCAAATAAGAATTCTGGCTTTTATTGGTTGTTTACATGGCTGTTCACAATATTCTCAAGTATCTTCTCCAACACCAAAGGGGCACATTATACATCTATGTGCAAGTTAGGTCATGTTCATGCAGATCAATTTTGGGAATGAGAAGGTAATAGGATGCAAATGCAACAAACTCATTCACCCCTTTACTTTGTAGTAGCTCAACAAATACAGTAATGTGGAGGGAGAACTATTATGAGAGAGCAAGTGTTTAGAATAAAGTAACATAATGAAGGTGATATCATCCAGAGGAGATATTTTGGTAGACCGCTTTCCATGATGATTTCCAACTAACGCTGATTGATCTGGAAGAGGCTAACTCAGGGGTAGGCAACCTTGGCTCTTTTATGATTCATGGACTTCAACTCTCAGAATCCCTGAGCCAGCCATGCTGAGGAGAAATGGAGAGGTTTCCATGCTGAGCTATGTTGGCTCAGGAATTCTGGGAGTTGTAGTCCACGAGTCATAAAAGAGCCAAGGTTGCCTACCCCTGGCCTAACTGATACTCAGATGAGAGATAGCCATGAACCCCTGGGTTGTAAGCTAGAGTCAGAAGTTTTAAATAATCCTGAAAAAAGTAGTGACAAAACAATTCCATTTCACTGCCAAGAAAATAGCATGATTGTTTGTGAAGTCTCCAAGGATTGAGCTCAGTTTGAAAGAGATTTGTGTCTTCTAAGTATACTGGACTTCAATCTACACAATAGCCTTTGGCAATGATACTTAGGGATTGTGGGAATTGAAGTTAACACATTTGGGGGTTTGTAGTGGGACGGACAGACATAGCAAACATCTGTTTTCCCAAATATTACTGCTTTCATAACCTAAGTGATGTTACTACTTCTTCTGTGTTAGGATCCCATGCTACTGAACTAAATCTAGGTGAATTATTTATAAGCACACATTATGCCAAAGTTTCTGCTTCCTACAACATGTTTACTATTCACATTCTAGTATCATCTGTTTAAAGAAAGCAGCTGGAGCAGACTGCCTATGAGGAAAGGTTGCAACACTTGGGGTTTTTTGGTCTCAGTCAGGTGAACATGAGTGAACATGACTGAAGGGTACCATGCAAGGTGTGGATAAAATGGACAAAGAGAAGCTCCTTTCCTTTTTCCAAAATACTAGAACAAGAAGTTGCCCAATGAAACTGAATACTGGAAGAACTAGAATAGACAAAAGGAAAACATTTTTTTACACAATGCATAATTAAACTTTGGAATCTATTGGCATAAGATGTGATGCTGGCTACTAGCTTGGCTGGCTTTAAAAACAGGTTGAACTAATTCATGGAAATTATGAAGATCAAAAGCTAATACCTTTGATGGCAATACAAACCTTCCAGTAACTTCCTCTGAAGACCATCTGCTGAGAGACTAGTAGGATTCTTGGTCACTGTGAGAATAGACTGCTGGACTAGATGGGCTAGGGATCCATTGCTGCAGGTCCATTCTTCAGTTCTTATTATAAAAATTACAACTAGTAGGATCATGAATAAGTATCCTTATAAACAACACTGCTCACTTTGTTTCCCATATGTACTCTCGTCACTGTATTGTGCAGAATAAAACACCATCTTTTAAAACACCATCTTATGAAACTGCCTCTGATAATTGTATGAATTTCCAGTAGGTTGTTTCATTTAATCTTGGCTCCCTGGAAAGTGCCTTGGCTTATTCCAACTATGAAAGTAAGCTGATCTGGTGGAATTTAGCCATCAGCTCGATGAAAGTCATATGAGAATGTGTTATTACAGTTCTTTGCTCCTTTGTAATCTAACCCTCTCTTTGGTTAGCTGAAGACCTGTCATGCACTGGCTTTGTATCTGAAAAAATATGAAACTGAGCAAGCTCTCTTGTTACTGACAACTACTTAATTAAACTTCACATTTTACTTGCCTTTAGTTGATTCTATTGGCTAATCAAATCCTAATTAAGAGACAATTTTTCCCAAGACCAAGCTGTACAATGCAATTCAATAAATACAACTATATCTGGTAATTAAATGCTAACACCTGTCAAAATGAGTTTCTTATGTTTGTGAAGAAATCAGTTCAGATTAATTGGAAGGAATTACATGATCACAGTAAGATGCACACACCCCTGCTGCCCTTGCATTTCTTTTGTCTAAAAAGAAATATCCAGGAAACATTTTGAAATATCAAATCACGGTCAGTGTACCCATCTAGTACAATAATGACTGAAACTTGGCTTTGCTAAAAGAGGGTGGGAAGCAACCAAAGATAGTATTGGAATAGGTTATGTTGTAAGCAGCAGTAATCATGGAGTTAGCCTTGTATTTTGAACACATACATATTGAACTATGTGCCAATTACAAACACTTGTAGTGAAATCCTGATGCTTCATTCCTTAATGAATTCCTGTCAGATTTGTTTCAAGCTCAGTTCAACTTAGAAGAAAGAATTGTTGTGGAAATAGAATACCAAATTCTTCCCTGGACTATTGCTACCAGAATAACAGAGTTGGAAGGGACCTTGGAGGTCTTCTAGTTCAACCCCTTAGTCAAGCAGGAGACCCTATGCCATTTCAGACAAATAGTTATCAATCTCTTCTTAAAAATCTCCATTAATAGAGCACTCACAATTTCTGAAGGCAAGTTGCCCCACTGAGGGCAGGAAATTTCTCCTTATTTCTAGGTTGGTTCTCTCCTTGGTTAGTTTCTATCCATTGCTTCTTGTCTTGCCTTCAGGTGCTTTGGTTAATAGGTTGACCCCCTGTTCTTTGTGGCAACCCTTTAGATCAGTGGTGGCGAACCTATGTCACGGGTGCCAGAGGCGGCACTCAGAGCCCTCTCTGTGGGCACGTGCGCCGTCGCCCCAGTCCTAGGCCTTCAGCTGGGTTTTATAAAACCTTTTTGCTTTAGGCCTCCGCCGCCGTGTGCAAAAAAAAAAAAGGTTCAATCAGTCAATTTCAACTTCTCGTGGAAAAAAAAAGTTCTTGCAAAGTTGGAATTGATTGATTGAACTTTTTAGTCCCACCCAGTCTGCCGTTACCACCGCAGCCATGCCCATCCAATTGGCCATGCCCACCCAATTGGCCACACCCAGCCAATGGGCCACACCCAGCCAATGGGCCACACCCACCCAGCACTTGACGATGCATAAGTGGGGTTTGGGTTGCAGTTTGGGCACTCGGTCTCTAAAAGGTTCGCCATCACTGCTTTAGATATTGGAACACTGCTATCATGTCACCGCTACTCCTTGTTTTCATTAAACTAGGCATACCCAGTTCCTGCAATCACTCTTCATATATTTTAGCCTCCAGTCTCCTAATCATCTTTGTTGCTCTTCTTTGCACTCGTTTTAGAGTCTCAACATCTTTTTTATATCGTAGCAACCAAAACTGGATACAATACTGCTAGTGTGGTCTTACCTAGGCATTATAAAGTGAAACTAACACTTCACATGCTCTTGGTTCTATCCCTTTGGTCTTGATTCTATCCCTCTCTTTATTTTGTACCCTTCTCTTAAAGTTTCACATGAATAAAATCTGCAAATGTTAAACTGGGCTTTATTTAATCATTGTTTATTGAATAAATTGCAGTTGGTTCATATATTTTACTAAGCCATGAACCATAGTTTAAGCCTTGTCAGAGGATCTTGATTTACCATTTCTCTAAACACACAATGGCTGCAAAGAATTAAAAGGGAATGATATGCTTGGAGAAACCCTGTGTCACATAGCAACAAAAATGTTTCACTATAAAATAAACACATAATTTCTTGAATCTTTCTCTCCTATTATAGAAGGTCTCCAAGTACAGTAAGCAAAAGGTAGCCAAACAAAGATGTGCCAGAAATAAAATAATGCTTTCAGCAGAGAATGCAGAAATGAATTTCAGCTAAACAGATAAGGAAACTGGTGGCTAAGTGGGGATATATTCACGGCAGTAAATTGTTAGGGAAGGAGGAGTGGTCATATGGGGCCAGAAAGATAAGTGTTAAAATTAATAGGAGAATTAGGATGAACCTGAATAAAAAGTGAACGTTTGAGTAGATAGAAAGGTGATTGCAAAAATGCAGAACAATCAGCATAAAAATGTTTGACATTTGCCACTACCTTACCTTATTGTTGCTTTCTGAGTTGTCCTGATTGGTTAAATAGTCTTTATTACTATTTATTAACAGAGTTGACCCATTCCAAACTGCATGTCTATCTGGCTTGAAACTGGACTTAAAAACTGCAAGACATGCAGTTTGGAATGGGTCAACTCTGTTAACAAACAGTAACAAAGACTATTTAACAAATCAGGACAACTCAGAAAGCAACAATAAGGTAAGGTAGTAAGCTTACTTCATATGTTATGTTCATATCAGAAAATATAAGAAATATATAAAATGTTTCTAAAAAAATTTGCCAGAAAATGTTTCTCATCAATCTTCAGTAAATTGTAGCTGTACATAATAAGCTTCTAAGCAAGTCCTGGTACTGAAAACAACTGTCAGGAGCGACCACATCATACATAAGCCTTGGAATGTAGTTTTAATCCTTCCTGTAGGAGGAGTGGCAGAACCTGGAGGAAGAGTCAAAAGAGGAATCAGCCTAGAATCTCTACGTAGCCACAAACGGACTGTGTTCAATTCCTTTTTAATTCTATTCACCTTATCTAGCACCAAAATAGTATGAACCATTAGTTGATTCCTGTGCATGTATGTGGTCCTGATCTTTCGTACCTAACATTTCCATACTTTAAGCCTTCTGCAACTTCAAGCATTACCCAAAATTGGTTGGTAAAATTGGAAACTGCCGTCCCAAAATTGCTGCAAGGTACCTCTTTAAATAAATTCACTTTTTTTAAGCTTTTGGCATTTTGACTTTTGTTACAAATCTTTTAAAAGAATCTATTAAGCTTGTAAACTAATTGGGTTCACCTGAAAAGAATATTACCAGTAAAACTCACTGAATAGTTAAAGCTGCAGTATCAAAATACATCCCTTCTAGTTTATAAAACTGGAAAATCTATTTAAACTGAGGATACATTTCACAAACCTGAATCAAAATGTTTACTTTGATTTTTTTCAAAGTAAACTAACAGTTAAGGAGTTGCCTATATAAGGACATGTGTGCATTAAATCTGGTTTGGCTCATCAACTTTCTGCAGCTATGAAAGTACTACTTCAAATTCAAAAGACAAACTTTGAAGTAAAATAAGAGACTCCAGGGAAGCCTGCTGAGAGGGGACATTTTAGCTTGAACTAGTCATTAAAGAGTCACTTGTCCAGATCCAGATCCTTTTACTGGATCGAAGAAGCCATCAAGATGCAGAGAGGCATTAACATTCTTCTTCACGGACACCAGTCTGCAAAAATAATGTAAATTATACAGTCTCCATGGGGATCACACATTTTGGATGGCAGGTTGCCCAGCCCTACTACAGCCCTTTGGATGGCTTTCCCATTGAGCTGTCACTTCAAAGAGCCAATGATTTACCATGGCCAAGGGAGAAACTTATTAAGACAGGGTAGTAAGGGCTCCAGCAGGTTTCTGCAACAAGCCTGAGCAAGCTTTAACAAGATAACAGTATTAAAAGCCTTTGCAATCTGCTGTAGGTCTTAGATCCAGCAAAGCTCACCTGCCAGGAAGCCTACTAGCCTCTAGTCTGTATTGCTTCCAGGTATGTTACTTATTATTTTAGCATATACACTGCCTTTCTATCCATAGCCAAAATTACAATATAAAATAATTAAATCACAGGAAACCGCTAGAATAAGATTATGCTTGCATGCCATATGAATCATAGTTCCACTATGTGCTAAGCCAACAACTTATGTTCCTGTGACAGAGTAGCGAACTACATTGCCTAGGTTCACACAACATATTGAGCTGCAAACCACTCAACCTTCTTTTAGCCTAACATAGACCTGGCTAGAGATTTCCCCTGAAGGAAGGAAGAAGGGATCCAAATTCAGCATTCCATAGCTTCAGAACAATGCAAAAGGATGTTATCTCTGGGGTTGCTTGGAAAAACACCCCTCGGAAAACAAGAGCGTACTACAGCCTGGCTATTCTGTTCTGATTTTCTTGTGTGCTATAGAATTTATATACTGTGTGCCTGTATAATCAATTAATCTTAATGTATTATCACCGAGGAAGTTTTAATCATTCCATTGTTGATTAGAACAATAATCATATAGATAGCAGGCAACTTTTTCCACCCATCCAAAGAAGGTTTAAAAACAGAGAAAGCATGCTAGGTACAAAATGCAGGTTAGTGATTCCAAGCTAAACCGGGTAGATAAATAGGGAACAGAGAGATATTTCAAAAATTTGTACTAAAAATCTAGAGTGGAAAATATTCCTTTATTATAATTTATCATTTATTATTGAATAAAAAAGCTTTGAAAACAATTTAAAAATACCACAATTTGCATTAGGTGATCAAGATAGTATTCCCTAATTGCAAAAAAAATAAAATCAAATTCCTAGTGTCAATAGAATTTATTTAAATACTTAACCCATACTATTTATAAGAAAACAGAATATTTAAAATAATAATATTTAAAATAATTTAAAATTGAATTTTTAAGAATGTTGGTAACATTAAGACTTTACCTATTTCTATATGGCAGTGATGTTTATTACAACAAGAGTGACAATGCATTCTTGATTTCTTTTATTTGGCTTTTATCAACTTTTGCAATTTAAATAATTAAAGGAAGCTTATCAAATATTTGCCTGTTATTCTTCTCTCACTGGCTTTATGATTTTAGCAGTAGCCTATTTATTCCAGGCTTGTTTTATTTTTTAATCATAAACATTTTTCATAATGATAGAGAATTAGAACACCAAGATTGTCAAGATAGAAGAAAATATATATGAACAAATGAGTATATCACATAATTTCATTTTGTAATGCAATTTTATATAATGAAGATAAATCAAGGTTTTGTTTGCTTTATTTGGAGTGCTTTTCAAAATATTCAGTCCATTAGAGTTGGGTAGCTAATAATAAATAAGTAAATAAATCTAATAATAGGAGATGTAACAGTAATCCCTTCAATTTTATTAATGGACATATAGCGAAAAATAATTCCACAAAAGAAGTCTATTATATTTAATACAATTAAGGATATATATTTTTGCGTACATATGCAAAGAAGAATGAGTTCTGGGAAAATAGGTTCCAGAAAGAAATCATATAACTGTGTGCCTCTTTTTTTTTCTAGGATTATACTGCTGAGGTATGGTAGATTGGCCTCTGGCAACATCCCAGGAAACTTTCAATTAGGTAATGGATTCAGAAGATACTGATTCCACCCATCCAAAGAGAGGATCACTGCCTCTCCACCAAAGCTCCCAGCCTTCAGATATGGCACCCAGACCATTACTGTCTCTGCAGAGTATTGAAGGGAAAGGCCCCTTCCCGCCATCCCGGAGAAGCTCCATTATGAGCATCCTCAATGCCCCATTTTCAAGTAGGAGAAATTCATTTGCTGCTGGAGGAAGGCGTCTTTCTATTGGGCCCTGGATGCATTGTGGTCGAGTAAGCTTTTCTGGGCTACCACTCTTTGAACCCATTCAGGAGACACACTATGAGAACACCTACAAGATCCAGCCAGATAAAGGTTACAGATTTAATTCCTCACGCACACAGCAGATTCTTGAGTCAGTTCTGGCCAGCTACTTTAGTGATGTCAAATACAATCCTGCAAATAGTGGGCAGTTGGTCCAAAACCTGTCAGATCTCATCAGGAGCAGGGTCAAAGATCTAACCCCACCACGCTACAAACTTGTGTGTAATGTCTTTCTGGGCCAGCTGGCCAACCAAGGCTTGCACATTGCTAGTCGGTCCCTCTGGGATGTGGAGAATGATAGCGTTGCTTCAGCCACTTTCACAAATTCATCGCTTTTTGCTGTAGTCACAGTACATGGACTGTATTATGAATGAGTCAGGCTTCTAAAGATTAACTTCCCTCTCTCCTAATTTTATCTTGCTAGAGATTATGGTCTGAGAGGTCCTTGGCGCTCTCTGAGCTTGCTTGTTTTCTTGCAAACATTTGATTACTCTAACTAGGTAGACTAGCACTGATGATGTTACCTAGTTAGGGTAATGAAATGTTTTCAACAAAGCAAGCAAGCTCAGAGAGCACCAACCCTGAGCTACAAATATTCTCCTTCATTAGATTATGGTCTGTCAGATCTGGGTATGTATCTGGACATAGTTTAAAGTAACAACAGAGTGTGCAAAATATATATGCTAAAATAATAGAGTAGCAATAGATATAACTAGGAAATCTGCTCCAGTGGGAGCTGGTGGTCAACCCAACTCCTTAAGAGTCCTTTTGTTAAATTTGCAGTTAGAATTGTTTGGTTCTACAATATTTATGTCTTTGCTTGTACAAATGGTTATGTAACTTCCTTTTCCAAAAAAAATAAACCCATTGCTCTTCCTTGAGCAAAGAGGATCTTTCAAAACAAGATTATGTTAAAGCACGGGTGTCAAACTTGCACGTCATGTAACGTGTTGCTACGTATGGTAACTTTTTTTGTGGCCTCTGTATGATGCAAGCAGCCCGCGGGCCGACAGTTTGACACCCCTGTGTTAAAGGATGTCCAAAATATAGCTGTATAAGTATTTGCTGGATTTGAGACATACTGCAAGTGAAATACCAAAATATCAAAAGGCCTCTGCCGGCACCAAGACTTTTAAAAACCTTGAGAATGTTTGAGACATAGAAACACACTTTCTTGTCACTGCATCCTACGTCAATGTAACTTTTTCCATTGAGGTCAAAAACCTAATACTGTCAACACAAATATGGGAAAACCCCAACACATTCTTGACTTAACTCTTGAAATTATAACTGATTAGCTTTACTGCTTTGAAAGAAAAAGGACAATATAGCCAAATATTAATAATAATGGCAGTTATGCTTTAACACATTGGGTGAACACTAATTTAGGGAAAGCTATGCATCAAATATGAATTTGCCATCTCTGTCAACTTTGCTAAATGGGGGTAGTGATGTCCAAACTATTAGCACCTATTAACTAGAAATGAACATGCTGAATCTAATGCTGAAGAGGTCATATGGGGATTACTCTCCCTACATAAAATTACTTAACTCCACCTGATTGACTTTTGAAAGAAGGGATTTTAGTTACCAAGGAATGTTACCCAAAATGGCAGTAAGATTCTGCCTTGCCACTGTACTGTTTTCCATTCTAACTGATAGCGCATTTTAATCTTTAAACTTGAGAAGTAAGAGTTAAGACTTTACCATAAAAAAGCACAAGTCCCTTTATCATCTCAGACCTCATATAGACCATTCATGCTGTCAACTTGCCCTTGACGTAATTTCCTATGAAAGACTTGTCTCTTATTTTCTAACTATAATTAAATTATTTAAAGTAATTAAATTTAATTAAACCTAATGTTTATTTTCACAGAACTTAAACACCTACAATTGTTAAAATATCTTTGCTATTGCTAGAAGTTGTTTTAATTCTGTTGATTGAATTGTTTACATTGCCTATTAGAATGTAGGTTATTGTGTACATTTTGTCAGGTATTACTTCAAACACACAATTGAGTGATAAATTCTGATAAAAAATACTAACGTTATGCATTAAAGCCAGAACCCATCAGATATTCTAGGTCTGTAATATCTGGCTTCTGAGTTGCAAAGTATAAATTTTATTAAAAAACCTATTCTGGTTGTTCAGTAAAGATACTCAAATAGCTCCACTCTACTCAGAGGGCAATAAAGCATAAAAAGAGATTAGGAAAGGGTGCAAGTATCTCAAAGTATCTTTCAAATATCTGAAAGTTTGGACATCAGGTTTTCTGTGCTGGAAGTATAAAAAGTGTGAGGTTTCATTAATCCACGGGATACGGTCATGTATTCCTTTGAAAATGGGAAAGCTTGAGTTCTAATCCTGAATTGGGCACGAAGCCAGCTGGGTGACTTTGGGCCAATCACATTCCCTCAAATCTAGGAAAGAGGCAATGGCAAACCACTTCTCAAAAACGTGCCAAGAAAATTGCAGGGACTTGTCCAGGCAGTCCGAGTGTTGTATATGATTGAACGAAAAAAATAAAAAAAGATGTACATAATATAGGTTTACTGGAAAATCTTCATATGATAAAGTTGTTAATGTGATGTTGTACTAAGCTTTAGAATCTGTTCATCAGGAATTATGATTGTACCAAGAATGGAGGGTGGCTAAAAGAATCATATTGAGAAATTGGAAACATTTTTCCAGATGTTTAGTGGTTGTCAGAAATATGTGATCTGTTTTAGAAAAGGTAGAATTTTCTTCTGATCAAAGGATGCAACTATATGTGTTACTATGGCAGAGATTTTGAGATATTTTACATGTTGTACTGATTATATTAATGTGTTAGTAAAAGTTGGCTTGAAACTCCACATTAAGAAAACCAAGATCATGGCATCCGGCCCTCTCAATTCCTGGCAAATAGATGGGGGGAAAATGGAGGTAGTGAGAGATTTTATATTCCTGGGCTCCAAGATCACCACAAATGGGGACTGCAGAAATTAAAAGATGCTTGCTCCTGGGGAGGAAAGCTGTGGCAAATCTAGACAGCATACTAAAAAGCAGAGACATCACCCTGCCAACAAAAGTACATATAGTCAAGGCCATGGTTTTCCCAATTGCAATGTATGGCTGTGAAGGTTGGACCATAAGAAAGGCTGAGCGCCAAAGAATTGAGGCCTTTGAACTATGGTGCTGGAGAAGACTCCTGCAAGTCCCCTGGACTGCAAGGTGATCAAACCGGTCAGTCCTAGAGGAGATCAACCCTGACTGCTCTTTAGAAGGTCAGATCCTGAAGTTGAAACTCAAATACTTTGGCAATCTAATGAGAAGGAAGGACTCACTGGAGAAGAGCATAATGCTGGGAAATATTGAGGGCAATAGAAGGGGACGACAGAGAATGAGATGGCTGGATGGTCATTGAAGCAGTAGGCGTGACTGGACTCCAGAAGATGGTAGAGGACAGGAAGGCCTGGAGGAACGTTGTTATGGGGTCACAATGGGTCGGACACGACTTCGCAACTAACAACAAAAAAAAATCTGTTGATAAGTATTAAATATAAGATTTTTTTTCTTTTTCATAATTGCATTCTTTGAGTTTGCGTCTTTACTATTTCTTTAAGTGAAAAGATTATTTTGTTAATTGGGTATTTAAAAAATATTAAATAAAAATTATCCAGAAAGGAGGCAAGAATCTCCAATGTGTTTACACGACAGGGTGAGAACCTAATCAAAGTAATTGATAACCTAAATTCCTCTGATGACCCATTGCCAGGCAAACTGAAGAAGCTCAGGGGGGGTTGGGATTTCCCCAGGTTGGCCACACACTTGGCCCTGGAGGCACATGTGACCCCTTCACAGCCAGCCTTCCTCAAAATGGTTAAAATAATCTTGCTCAGATATGCTTTTGAATTTTAATGCTATTTATTATCGAGTTGTTCATTTCATCTGGGATTTTATCTCATTGATCCAAGTTTGATAATAGATATTTTTGTGCTATGCTTTTCATGGGAATTGGCTATAAACTGGCATCTTTCAGGATATGCAGTATAAAAATGAATATACTGCAATCAATAAACAGTAAATGTCTTTTGTCAGCATGTGAGAATGTGAAATTACCGCCCTAAAGAAATCTGTGTGGTCATCTGCCTTTCTCCAAGTTCCACAGAGTCAACTGGTTGCCACAAGACACTGTTTTGACACAAAATAAGCATTTCTCTGCTTTTATTAAAAATGTGTTTATTATAATCAAACTGCTGCATTTTGGGAAATATGGTGTGCGTGATTGATAGGACATGTGCAAAATAAATAGTTGGCATAAATACATAAATAAGGTTCTTTGATGTTCACACCATGTAGGCCCCACAGCTGAACAGTCTGTCAGGTTGAACACTTCAAGTGGGCAGCTTGTTCAAGTCTGTACCAATTTATGAGATCCCCTGCTGTACCCTGGACCGAAAAGCAGCCAAGAAATTGAAGCAAGCAGGTCATTCACAGTTTCAGCAAAAAGGCATCCCATTTGCTTAATTAGTGTAATAGTTATATTACCCAACATGTCCTTTCATAGCTTCAAGTACTTCGCAGTAACACCAAAATTGATCCAGATTTTAAGGCTGAACATTCAACGGTCTATTAACTAGTCCTTCCAAATTTGGAGGGGTTCTTCTCTACCCGTTCTAGAGGACAGGCAATTGGCACTCTAGCCAACTAAAGTGGCTCAAGCATTTGTGTTTGAACCATATTATAGCTGGAACAAGAAGCTGTTTATCTGCTTTCACAGTAGAGAAGTCAGCCATGCCACAACTGCTTCCCTGCATAAGCTTTTTTCTTCTCTAGATAGCCACACCCAATTCACAGCTTTGGTCCATGAGTCAGAGCCAAGGGAAGCTTCGGTAGAAATGCAACTCCCAGCGGTGTTATGCCAGTTTCCTGAGCAGATGATGGTAGTGTTGCAAGGATTTGAGACAACACATAAGTAAAGCCACCAATTTCTATATTTGTATTCCTCTTTCCATCTGGTACACCACTTTCCACACCAAATATCTAATATCAGGCATTAGACTAAAAGCCTAGAAACCATCATAAAAAATATTTGTACTTTTTTCCTTACCCTGCATTGTTCCCTGTACATAGTGTATGGAGCATAATTTCTCCACCCTTTCCACCCAGTGACACCATGTGCATAACTAATTATGCAATGATTGCACAGACATAAAACTTAAGGCATCTTATCCCTAAACCATTCTCCTGTGAACTGAAGCATTCACATCAAGATGATGGTTTTTTTTTAAAAAAAAACAACCAAACACAATGATGCAAGGGATCCAGAAGTGGGTGAATCCTGAGGAGTGGTTCGGAGCTACAGATGTGTGCAGATTTGAAGTTTTCCTT